TAAAAATAAAAAAATCTAGTACGAGTGTAGAATTTAATTTGAATTATACCAAGCATTAAGCCAAAATTAAGATTCTACCGCAACGTTTAATTACTTTCTGCATATATATAAATTTTAATATTAAAATATTAATAAACATTTTACAAGGAGTATAATTAACAAGTATGGAACTAATGCGAATACGATTTAATTTAACTTATCTACACGTTCGCTGTAGAGAGGAACACGGTTGACCTACTTCTAAACATTATTAACAAGATCAGAATACAAAACTTGCCAGAGTCGAGATGCAAATTGACGAGAGGAACAGGAGATTGTCTTCAAGGCCATATTTCCTACTCTATTAAATTCATTGCAGCAATCCATTCAGAGCCGAGCTGAGTTTATATGTACGAATGTATTTACTTTTGATTTGACATTATTTTAGTATCTATATTACTTATTACATACTTTTTATATAGAATCATATTTTTGTTATCAAAAGTTTTCATCGTTCTTATTAAATTATTTTTAATTATTAAGAATCCTTGTTTAATTAATTTAGTTCTTGCTACATAAAAAAAATCAGTAACATATTTATTGATCTTTCAACATAGCAGTAGTATCATATAAGGCAATTTTTTTATTTAGAAAACACTATATACGTATGTATAATATGCAAAAGTAGGACACGAGACAGATCCTTTTACGGCAAGTTGTTCTGGACGAGGGCAAGTCATCGTACGATTCCTTCTTTATTCGAACTTTCCAACCTACGTAGCTCTGCATGATGGTGACGAATCATACAAATTTATCATACAGCTTTGATAATTGTGTTAGACATATCGTTATTTTTTAAAAGTATTTATTATATATTTAAAAAAATAGCTAATTATGGAGATTAATGTGGTATTTAAGTTTCTTTAAATCTTTTTTAAATTTTTAAAATTTTTATAACCTTCCTTTTCAAGATATATTGATAAAAGAAACAAATTTTCTTAATATTTAAAAAAATTGTTTATTTTTTATTTCAGAGAGAGAGAGAGAGAGAGAGAGAGAGAGAGAGAGAGCTATTAATTTGTGATTTTTAACGATAATAGAAAAAAACAATAGTTTTAGAAAAATTTAATAAATAACATATAATTATATATATATTTATTTTTATAATATATAATAAATACTTATAAATATATATGTATTATATAATTATATAATATAATATATTATATGTATATATAATTATATATAGAGGAAAGGCCCGTATTATAAGATACCAAGTTTATTTCGGGTAAATGCTAGAAGTCTATAGGTAAAATTTTAAAAAATAATGTCATTTTAAAGGGAATTTAATAAGCTTTAAAATAACGTTACATAAAATTTAATTCAAATTTGATTTTTTTTGAAAATTAAAGAAATGTAAAAAGTTAGCAAATCGCAAGGTTCAAAAATTGTGCTTCTAATATGAGATGTCCCGAGAAATCGATAGTAGAACGCAAAGTATATCAGTATTGCAATTAGAAAACTATTTAATGTTTCTAAACAAACAAACACAGCCAGCGTGCACGAAAAATGAGCACGCGATAGATTATACCCAGAACTCGGTTTTAGGTAGTTGGAATCAAGCATCGCAGACATAGGCACTCAATGTTCATTCCGGTTGTCTTTTTTATTATTATACAATACATCTATACTTTAACAACGATTTTCACTGTAACATAGGAGCATGTTATTTCATATTAGGAACTGATATGAGATACCCTGAGTACCTTATATTACGATTTCCTCGCCTTACGGTTTTACGATCATCAAATCTAACTTCTGTAATTAAACAATTCAACATATCCCGTATTTTTCTATTAGTATGACCTTACTCTATCACTACATGAAGAATTTATTGCCAAATATTTATTTATTAAATAATAAACAAAGTTTAAATGCCCATTTCAATAAAATACTTGAAGACATCGAAATTCTAAAATCTTGTTTTACAATGATTACAGGCATGATTTAATAATGAATTTTCTACTAAGTAGTTTCAATCCAAGAGCAATAAATTCATGGTAGAACCAATAGATAGCGTTTATTAGTTTAGCAGAAACGCCGCTATCTCATATTAGGCGCCTATTTCATAATAGGGGGCTTTCCTATATACATTATATTTCCTATATATACATAAATTCCTATATATACATAAATTCAGTCTTGTCAGATTGAAAATCTTGACCTAAATAGACTCATAGCGCAGATAGATTTGCAAGTGAGAGGTATAAGTTCGTAGAAAATTAGTCGCGTCGTGGTCGTCTCAAGAAGTAATTGCGGTTCGTCTACTCGTAGGCGATTAGTCGTTGAAAATTTCTACGTAAGTCTGCTTAACTTTGAGATCTGTTAAAACTTGTCTCTTCTGGTTTAACGCGGTTCTAAAGGGATGTTCATAATGTGTCATATAACATGGTTTTATCCAATAAAAAATACATGATGCTACTCGACTTTGACCAAGTCTGGCTTTTACGGAATTGGATTTTCGTAATACCCAACGGTATAGAAGAAAAGCGAAAAAGAATTATGAGAACGAATTTTGACGTTGCTCGATGTAGTTACACAGAAGCAAGATCTCTCATATGAAATGCTGGTGTTCAAATAAGTTGAGTTGCTTTGAATAAAATATTGGCAATAATACTACGTTTCTTTTTCCCGTACCATTTACGGTTATGTAAACCGGTTTAGATATACCAGTATTGCAGTAAAAGCATTCACCAGCAGGATGTAATTCATATCTTTCACAGAAAGGTGAAAGCTTTTCATTAATTAATACGATCAATATCGATAGAAACGTCATTCGTCATTTGATAAAATCTTAAGTATATATTCTGAATTATATTCAATTATAAATAAAAGTATTTAAAACTTCCAATGCAATTGGATTGTAAAGAACTTAATTAATTCTTGTAATCAAGCCGAAGAATATTTAATTAATTGAATATGTATGTATCAATAACAATTCGATTTACGTGAGAACGCATCTCGTTAAAATATGCTGTTGTCCGACTAATAAAGGCTTTTCCTACTGTATTATGTGCACGGAATATACTCGAATTGTAATAAATATTAAATTAACTCTTGCTAAATAAAATATACGAATTATTCAACTTATTATAATTCTTACGACATTTATGAAATATTTGTTTTTAATTAATAATATAAATGTGATATTAAAAGACACGATACTTTAAAATGCCGTATATCGAATGAACAGATTACAATACAACCACAATTTTGTCTTTATATCCATCGCGTATGATAATGGCTGCAAATACTCCGAGAATAACAAGACATTCAAAACGACGCAAAACCTTTATACTCATTAAGAACATAAAAGGATTGATACCCTTCTGCGTCATATTTAAATCTCTATATGCACCAAGCCTTTGTTAAGCATCAGCGTTATTTGAACGAATACAAAAGCGGATAATAAGAATTTTCTGCAAACGCTTTTCTTCCCTTTTATTAATATTAAACAGGCATATACCGTTAAATGTTATAAGAATGGATGCAGTATTGTTTACTTTATCATACTGCTGCTTTTAAATATGAACGCAACTGTTTAAAAATAGATACTTTTCTTTAAATACTTTAAATGCTTCTCAAAACGTTACTTCTCATGCGACCTGAAAAAAACATTATAATGTCATAAGCGTTATATCTGTTTCTAAATTCTAATAAATGACAATATTTTAGACGTCATCGTTGCCTGCATAATTTGCCCCAAGAACATTTGGAATTCTCTTATGAAGAACCGTTGCATACTGTGACTTCCTATCGCCAGGATTACGACGAAAAACACGTGGAAAAGCAAACAAAATATTATCATGAAGATCATTTGCATACGGAGGGTGAATTTATCGGACAGAGACGAACCGATTATGTGGCTACTAGAGGCGAGAGAGCGCCGGTCAGAAAACCGCAAGATCATCTCAAACCCGAAGGTGAATTCGTTAGAAGACCAAAGGAAGAGGCGCCTACAAGGGGTGAAAGGGCACCTGTGAAGAAGCCACAAGACAATCTTAAACCGGAGGGCGAGTTTGTTGGTAAGCCTCGAGAGGAAGCTCCGAAATATGGCGAACGAGCTCCGATTACGAAGCCAAGGGATAACTTGAAATTCGAAGGGGATCTTGACAGTAAGTTTAAATACTTGCTCAATTCCGTTCGTGAACTTGTTAATAAACTTTTTTGTTATTAATTTCGTCTCAACAAGATATTAAAATGAATTCTTATATATATAAAAAAATATACTTTTCGTAAAATTGTATGCTCGATATAAAAAAATAAATAAATAAATTTTGTTATCTTCTAGCTACAACAACGACCGAGCTGGTTTTTACTGGTACTCCTGGCGAACGACCGATCCCAATACGTCGCAATACTTATACGAAGATAGAGGGTGATTTTACTGATGAAACGACGACGCGATCGCAATACATTGATCATCGTAGCATCCAACGCGCTGAAATCGTTAAACGAACGGATAATCTCATTGTGGGAGAGGGTGAATTCACGGTTAGTAGCTTTAATGATAAAAACTTTCCGATTTTAATCAGATCGTTTATAAGATCGTATATGTGACTTCATTATTTTTCAAAATTATCTTACAGGGTACCTCTCATATCAAGGAAGATTTCCAAACTCATGTTATCGAACGTGAACCTCAGTGGCGACCGAAGTATCCTGAAGACACCGATCGGTTTTACAACAAAACAGATATCATTGACAGTACTACTACCACTCAGGAACAATTTCGAACTTTCGATCAGGCAGATTATAAAAGTACCATAGTTATTAAAAGAGCCGATAATCTAAGACCTGAAGGACCTTTCGAAGCATTGCCTCACACAAAGGATGATTACGTAACACCCATATTGCTGCGCAAGCCAGAACCACAAAAACCTATAGATAATTTAAAACCTGAAGGGCCATTCGAAGGACGACCTAAAGATGATTATTCACCTAAACGTGGCGAACGTTATGAAGTGAAACGGCCAGAAGATAACTTACGTCCTGAAGGGCCGTTCGAAGGACGACCTAAAGATGACTATAAGCCTACTAGAGGAGAACGCGCAGATGTCAAACGCCCTGAAGATAACTTAAGACCCGAGGGTTCGTTCGAAGGACGTCCTAAAGATGATTATGCACCTAAACGTAGCGAACGCCCTGAAGTCAAGCGTCCAGAAGATAATTTACGTCCTGAAGGACCATTTGAAGGACGGCCTAAGGATGATTATAGACCAACCAAAGGAGAGAGAGCTGATGTTAAAAGACCACAAGATAATTTGAAACCAGAGGGTCCCTTCCAAGGACGTCCAAAAGATGATTTTACTCCGAAAACAGCGGAACGTCCTGAAGTGAAACGACCGAAAGACAATTTACGACCTGAAGGTAACTTTTCAGATCGTCCCAAAGACCAATATATACCCGGTGAGAAACGCACTCCTATCAGACATCTGGATAATTTGTACCCTGAAGGCGACTTTGAAAGACCTAAGCTGATACCTTATGGTCCCGGTGACAGAGCATCTATTGTTCGTCATCCGGATAATCTATTTCCAATAGGAGAATTTCCAGACAGAGAAATCAAGCCATTTAAGCCTGCCGAACGTAGAACGCCTGTTAAACATGTCGATAATCTTCGTCCAGAAGGTAACTTTGAAGGAAAACCCAAAGATGATTACAGACCGACCAAAGGAGAACGTGCCGATGTTAAACGCCCCGAAGATAATTTGCGACCAGAAGGTCCGTTCGAGGGTCGTCCAAAAGATGATTATTCGCCCAAGCGTGCAGAACGCCCTGAAGTAAAACGTCCAGAAGACAATTTACGTCCCGAAGGCAATTTTGAAAGACCAGAAAAAGCACCTATTGGTCCAGCCGAAAGACGTACTCCAATTAAACATCCGGATAATCTTAGATCCGAAGGAGAATTCGAGCGACCTCGTCCGGATAGTTATCGTCCGGCAGAAAAACCAGTAGTCAAAAGGCCAGTGGACAATTTAAGGCCCGAAGGAGAATTTGAAAGACCACGTCCTGAAAAATACACTCCAGTTGAGAAACGAACACCAGTGAAACATCCGGACAATCTCAAGCCAGAAGGTGAATTTGAGCGACCTCGTCAGGATGGTTTCCGTCCGGCAGAAAAACCAGAAGTCAAAAAGCCAATAGACAATTTAAGGCCCGAAGGTGAATTTGAAAGACCACGTCCTGAAAAATACGCTCCAGCTGAGAAACGAACACCAGTGAAACATCCGGACAATCTCAAGCCAGAAGGTGAATTTGAGCGACCTCGTCAGGATGGTTACCGTCCGGCAGAAAAACCAGAAGTCAAAAAGCCAATAGACAATTTAAGGCCCGAAGGTGAATTTGAAAGACCACGTCCTGAAAAATACGCTCCAGCTGAGAAACGAACACCAGTGAAACATCCGGACAATCTCAAACCAGAAGGTGAATTTATTGGTAAACCGAAAGAAGATTTTATACCAACAAGAGGTGATCGCGCTGATGTTAAGAGGCCAGCAGATAATTTAAGACCAGAAGGTCCATTCGAAGGTCGACCAAAAGATGATTATCGACCAGTACGTGGAGAACGTATGGATGTTGTTAAACGCATGGACAATTTGCGTATGGAAGGAGATATAGAAACATATAGATCCAGAGACGAATATACTGATTTCTTAATACGCGAAAGAACTGAAATTACTAAATATCAAGATAATTTACGTATGGAAGGTGAATTCATTGATACAAGAACACGAGATGATTTTAAAATTGTTAAAGGTGAACGCATGGACGTCGTTAAACATCCTGACAATTTAAAACCGGAAGGCGATTTCGTACGTCAGCCTAAGGAAGAAGCGCCTAAAAAGGGTGAGAGAGCTGATGTGAAAAAACCGAGAGACAATTTGAGACCGGAAGGTGAGTTCGAAAGACCGGAGAAGAAACCAATCGGTCCAGCAGAGAAGCGTACCCCAATTAAACATTCTGACAATCTAAAACCAGAGGGTGAGTTTGAGAGACCAATACCTGAAGAATTCAAACCTGCCGAAAGACCAATTGTAAAGAAGCCACATGACAATTTAAAACCGGAAGGCGAATTTGTGTCAAGACCGAAAGACGAGGCGCCAAAGAAAGGTGAGAGAGCTGATATCAAAAAGCCACAAGACAATTTGCGACCGGAGGGCGACTTCGAAAGACCGGAGAAAAAACCAATTGGTCCTGCAGAGCGACGTTCTCCGATTAAACATTCTGATAATCTGAAGCCAGAAGGTGAATTCGAAAGACCTAAGCCTGAAGAATTTAGACCTGCCGAAAGACCGGTAGTAAAGAAACCACACGATAATTTAAAACCGGAAGGTGAATTTGTCTCTCGACCAAAAGAAGAAGTTCCAAGAAAAGGTGACAGAGCTGATGTTAAAAAGCCAAAGGATAATCTCAAACCCGAGGGCGATTTTGAAAGACCGGAAAAGGCACCTGTTGGTCCAGCGGAACGACGTACTCCGATCAAACATTCAGATAATTTGAAGCCAGAAGGTGAGTTTGAACGACCGGAACAAGAAGGTTATCGTCCAGCAGAAAGGCCAGAAGTCAAAAAACCAACAGATAATCTGAAACCCGAAGGCGATTTTGAAAGACCACATCCTGAAAAATATGTTCCGGCTGAGAAACGTACGCCAGTGAAACATCCAGACAATCTTAAGCCGGAGGGTGAATTTATTGGTAGACCTAAAGAAGACTTTACGCCCACTAAAAGTGATCGTGCCGAAGTTAAAAAACCAGAGGATAATCTGAGACCAGAGGGTCCATTCGAAGGTCGACCGAAGGATGATTATCGACCGGTGCGTGGCGAACGCATGGACATAGTGAAACGCACGGATAACTTGCGAATGGAAGGAGATATAGAAACTTATAGATCCAGAGACGAATATACCGATTTCTTAATACACGAAAGGACTGAAATTACTAAATATCAGGATAATTTACGTATGGAAGGAGAGTTTATCGATATGAGAACACGGGATGACTTCAAAGTCGTTAAAGGCGAACGCATGGATGTCGTTAAGCATCGTGACAATTTAAAACCAGAAGGTCCATTCGAAGGTCGTCCGAAGGATGATTATTTACCTAAGAAAGCAGAGAGACCTGAAATTAAAAAGCCAGAAGATAATTTAAAACCAGAAGGCGACTTTGTACGTCGGTCTAAGGAAGAAGCGCCTAAAAAGGGTGAGAGAGCTGACGTGAGGAAACCGAAAGATAATTTGCGACCGGAGGGAGACTTCGAAAGACCGGAAAAGAAACCGATTGGCCCTGCTGAGCGACGTTCTCCGATTAAACATTCTGATAATCTAAAACCAGAGGGTGAATTTGAAAGACCTAAGCCTGAAGAATTCAAGCCTGCTGAAAGACCGGTTGTAAAGAAACCGCACGATAACTTGAAACCTGAAGGCAAATTCGTATCTAGACCGAAAGAAGAAGCGCCAAAGAAAGGTGAGAGAGCCGATGTCAGAAAACCGCAAGATAATTTGCAACCAGAAGGAGACTTTGAAAGACCGGAAAAGAAACCGATTGGTCCTGCTGAGCGACGTTCTCCGATAAAACATTCTGACAATCTAAAACCGGAGGGTGAATTCGAAAGACCTAAGCCTGAAAAATTCAAACCTGCCGAAAGACCGATTGTAAAGAAGCCACTCGATAACTTGAAACCTGAAGGCGAGTTCACATCTAGGCCAAAAGAAGAAGCACCAAAGAAAGGTGAAAGAGCCGATATCAGAAAGCCGCAAGATAATTTACGACCAGAGGGTGACTTCGAAAGACCGGAGATAAAACCAATTGGTCCAGCTGAAAGAAGAACTCCGATTAAACATTTTGATAATTTAAAACCTGAGGGTGAGTTTGAGAGACGTAAGCCTGAAGAATTCAAACCTGCCGAAAGACCAATTGTAAAAAAGCCACACGATAATTTGAAACCTGAAGGCGAATTCGTATCTAGGCCGAAAGAAGACGCGCCGAAGAAAGGTGACAGAGCCGATGTTAGAAAGCCGCAAGATAATTTACGACCGGAGGGTGACTTTGAAAGACCGGAGAAAAAACCAATTGGTCCAGCGGAAAGGAGAACTCCGATCAAACATGCAGACAATTTGAAGCCAGAAGGTGAATTTGAAAAACGTCCAAAGGAAAAGATACCGATCAAAGGTGAAAGGGCGGATGTTACCAAACCAAGAGATAATTTGCGACCTGAAGGCGACTTTGTAAGACCTCAGAAATCACCGATTGGCCCAGCAGAACGACGTACACCGATTCGACACGAAGACAACTTGCATCCAGAGGGTGAATTCGTTGGTCGACCAAAAGATGATTTTATTCTCAAGCGCGCCGATCGACCAATTCAAAAGAAGCCTAAGGATAATTTGAAGCCTGAAGGAGAATTTGTAGGAAAACCCAAGGATGATTACAAACCAACTAAAGGAGAGAGAACTGAAATCGTGGTGCATCGAGACAATTTGAAGATGGAAGGCGATATAGATGTTTATCGATCTCGGGATGATTACGTAACTACGTCTAAACGCGAACGTGTGGATATTGTTCATCGTGAGGATAATTTGAAGATAGAAGGCGAATTCGTTGATATTCATCGACGAGATGACTATCGAGTTACTCGTGGTGAACGTAGCGAAGTTATTAGGCGTGAAGACAATCTTTATCCTGAGGGTGATTTCGAACGACCAGAGAAAGCACCGGTAGGTCCCGCAGAGAGAAGATCTCCTATTAAACATCCTGATAACTTAAAGCCGGAAGGCGATTTTGTACAACGGCCGAAGGAAACCGTGCCTATTAAGGGTGACCGAGCAATCGTCAAGAAGCCGAAAGATAACTTGAAGCCCGAAGGTGAGTTCGAGAGACCAGCAAAATCACCCGTTGGTCCCGGCGAACGACGATCACCCATTAAACATCCCGATAATCTTCATCCGGAGGGAGAATTCGTTGGCAGACCGAAGAAGGACACGCCACTAAAAGGCGACCGAGCAGATGTGAAGAAGCCAAAGGATAATCTTCATCCCGAAGGAGAATTCGCGAAACGTTCCCTGAAGAAAATAGAACCGGCTGAACGAAGAACTCCGATCAAGCACAAGGATAATCTTCACCCTGAAGGAGATTTCTACATAGTGCCTAAGGACGATTTTATTCCAAAGAGAGGAGATCGATCGCCGGTTAAAAAACCTCAGGACAATCTTCGTCCCGAAGGTGAAATGAAAGTATCTCCGAAAGATGATTATAAATATGTAAATGGAGATCGCGTAGAAATACGTCGGCACGAGGATCACCTGCGCGTGGAGGGACAAATGGACACTCGTCGCTCGAGAGATGACTATAAGAAAATCACGAGAGTGGAGAAAGTGGATGTTAAGAGACATGAAGATAATCTCAGAATGGAAGGTGAATTTATCGACGTGCGTCGCAAGGATGATTACGTGCACGTGGTCGGTGAACGCGCGCCAATTAAAAAGCTCGCGGACAATTTACGTCCGGAAGGAGATTTCGACAGACCTCGGAAGATCGTGATTGGGCCCGGGGAGAAAAGAACTCCAATCAAGCACCCGGATAATCTGAAGCCAGAGGGTGACTTTGAACGTAGAACTCCGGATAAGATTGGTCCCGGCGAACGACGGTCGCCGATTCGTCACGCCGATAATTTGAAGCCAGAAGGTGATTTCATCGGACGCCCACGTGACGACTTCACTCCCAAAAGAGCAGAAAGAATCGAAGTCGTAAAGAGAGAGGATAATCTAAAGATGATAGGTGATTTCGAGGGCACAACGTCTCACAATTCGACTTACACAATAGTTCGCGGAGAACGAGCGGACATTAAGTCACACGAAGATAACTTAAAGATTAGCACCGGTACTATGGAAACAAAAACAACCAGCAGAGATACTTATACACCTTCTAAGCGTGAACCTTCTCCTGCTGGCAAAATGGTAAATCGTCGAAGACACATGGAATCGTCTATTTCGCTCGGTGATGACACCACCGTGATGACCACGACGAATCAACGTAACTACAATACCTACACGAGACGTACAGGAAAGGATATCGCTGCTAAAATGAGTCAAATAGAATCTGATACTAGGAAGACCGTGGAATCGCAAACTTTAGCAGATGGAACTGTCGTTACGACTGTAAAACGTACAGCTACTTCTACTCAGTCAGATCAGAGAGCTGCCAATGCTCAAACTGTCTCCCATCATCAACAAACACAGCATATTACGGATCGTCTTACCGCTCAACCAATTGATGTTTCGTCATTTGGACCGCAACCCGTGGATTCACGAAAAACGACTTCTCAATTCGTGTCTAATCAGCATCACGAACAGCATCAAAGAACTCATTTGAGCGAGCAACATTTGCGATCGCAGAACATGCAGAGTCGTCGAACAATCGAAGATAGATCGTTCGCGGAAGGACTAAATCATCGAGGGCAAATCGTACGAGCGGAAGATACATCTCGTTACGCGATCGACGCCACACACGGCGAGCATAATAGACAGCAGCAGCAGCAGCAGCAGCAGCAGCACGTCGAGCGTCATCATCAGGAAATGACCAAGCGCGATTACGTGAATGCGCAACATATGGAAACTCGACAAAGATCCGCGACAAAGCAGCACGAGCAGCACACAATCTCCACTCAGGCGCGATATAATTCAAGCAGCCCGGAATTCCGACAATCAATCAGCGGGCAAACGACTTTGGAACGATCACACGTAGACTCAGCCGCGAAGTACGGTCACCATCGCAAGAACGTGATATCCTCTTCGTCGGCTGACATCAGCAATGCAGTACTCCATCGACGTGGCGCAGCTTCTTCCACCGAGGCGCTTCACACGATCTCGTCGACGGCGGCGGACCAGCGCAAAAGTATCTCAAACCTGGCCGAGAGCGGACAGTACATCAGTAATTCGAGCCAGAGCAACGATAGACGTAGCTTGACTTCGCTGCATCGCAGCTCTAAAGAAGTCAATCCTTGGGCATCTTCCAGCTACGAACGCCCGCAGAGAATCATTCGGCAAGATAACCTGAGTGTCGGCGGAAAATTCTATTCACAGAGCGAGGCGAAAAGCTATGGAAATTTCTCACAAAGTACTCAAAAAGTAGAAAGAGTCCAGAGGCAAGCGAACGCATCTCATATTAATTTGGGTGACGGTAGTACTGTCAGTTCCAGCATGTATAAAAGGGAATACGTTCCCAGGCACAGAGGACCGTGTCCAGCTGCTCTTTTGGAAGCCAAACAGGCGCCTTTCAAACACACCAGAGACACGCAGAAACACAAGTTTTACATGCCCGTTGTGTCCAACTAAATTGGCCTATTAAATTTAACGTTTTACTAATTTTTTTTTAAATTATGCTTAATGATAATGTTAAAGTGCTAAAATCAAATTTTCATTCTGTAAAGATGATCAAAATTATACGCAACACATATTTATCATCGTGCATAATATTTTTAAGCAATTTTTGGTTATAAATCGATTATTGCGTAAAAATATATAATAATTGATTATATACATAATAATCAATAATAATTAATTAATTATTATACGATCATAATCAATAATAATTAATTATATTTTATTATCAATTATAATTAATTATTATATTATTAATTAATAATTAAAAGAGAGAATATGAAATCGTATGTAATCATATATAGTAACAGTAAATATGTTACTATATGCAGAAAATTTTCTTTTTCAAAGTATTCGAATTTTGCCAAGACTAAATCCGAAAAGGATTTTTTGAATAACGCTGTGATGATATCGCGCTGTTGAAAAATTAATTTATATTTTAATAATCGCTGATACATTATTTCGACTAAAAGTAAGTACTATAATCGTTTCTAAATTACAATCACATCAACGGATGAAATTTGATCTATCGTGTCCCTTGTATAGCAATATTAAATATAAGCTATTAAAATACGTATATACTTAATATACATAATTTCTTTTTAGGATGCAGTTACGAATGAAAATAATTGGTCAATATAAGTATATAAGTATTGATTATACCACTAACTTTTATCTACCGACGCGAATAGGTAGCCGCCCATTATATATTCCTTTCTTCTTAAAACACGTGTATACAAAGCAATAACTAGAGCTTAAATCCATGATACGGTCGGATCTAATAGAGCATTAGTTTCGTCCGATAATTAGGATAGTAGGTGCAATTATGTTATTCTATTTCACTGACTTTATAATATAAAGTTTTTATATGGCAATGAGTTTCTCGCTTATGTTTTATTTAATTTTCAGCTTATTTTATTACCTTATTTAGCACTTATTTAGCGTTGTGTTCTAAGAATATATTTTCAGCAAAATATTAAAAAAATACATGATTTTTTTTCCTTTTTCATTAAGCAATACTCAAATGGGTAATTCAATTTCTGGATGTTGGTTTATTTACTTTATAATCTTTATTTTATTTGAATAAAATAGATTTGTATTAATTTGTTGTATGAGTTTTATTTGTTACCATTATATTTATTTTATTAATGCATTTACACGATCAAAACGCACATGATAGAAAAATATTTGATATTATTTGTTGTTTGTACAATGCAATATACTGTATATTCGATATATAGTTGTCACAAAAATTAATTATTAATTGATAAAAGAATTATAAATAAATTGAACTGTATAAAAGCAATTAGAAATTTAGATTTAGGATTTTAATATTAACATTATTGAGATCTAATTTATAAAAATAGTTTTGGTGTCAAATATTAAATAAATTAATCCAAAGGATCTGCCATTGAAAAATAACAGTAAGAATGTATATATGTATATTGAAATGACAACCTTTTCATTAATACTATTAGCATGGCCATAGGCTATTCACAAATAATGTGAATAGATGAAACTTTATCGGCCTCATTGCTGCTGATATGAAAAAAGATCTCATTATGATCTTAATTTTTTTTAATACTTGGCTGCATAGACAATAACGGCTCTGGTGTGTATACTAGATTTTACGCACTTAGAGGTACCTATATAAAACTAAATACATCGAAAGATATAAAAACGTTATTTTTTTACTGTATTTTTACTAGATCCTGAAATATATATGGCAGTTTCTCTCTAAAATATATTCTACATTTCAAGCTAAATCCAAATCAAGTGCAAGAAAGAGAATGGGCAATTTGTGGCTGTGCCGTTCATATTCATTGAAACAAGTTGTTCATTCATGTCTGTTCGTACTTGCTTTCTTTCTTCGAATCTGGCTTAAAATAATAACTTTGGATAAAAAAATTTAATAATATCAAATCTATTATAATTCGCGCGCAATGCTATTGTGTATTCTAGGTAGATAAATATAGCATTATAAAAATGTATGTGATTGTACATTTAGATAAGCAGAGTACAATAAAAAATAGTGCATTTTATATTTTTTAAATTTTCTGACGTAGAAAGATTTGCATATTGATAATTTTATATTGAAATTGGAATTTTCATGATTATAAAAGAAATTTATTTACTTACTATACCATATATGCCTATTAAAGCCGAGCAATTAAAGTAAATTATAGAAGGCAGGAATCAAGAAATCTATGTGCATATATTATTTCCTATAGATTGCAAAGTAATGTTTGATCTTTTATTGATAAATTATTAATATTGGCCTTCTTAGCTTAAAAAATATTGCGCAGAAAGAAAAAGATGATAGTCCAATTAACAAAATGTCACTTGCTAGACTTTGGAACCTATAAGCGTATTTCTGGTATTTGTAATAGACATATATAAAGATACAAATTCTTTATTGTTAGTTTGTAAATTTCATATATATATATATAAAACCTGTATATATAAACGGATCACTGTATTGAACTTTTTCAAACATATCTTGTGCGATAGGAACGATAAACAGCAACTATTTCCCACACATATCAACGAGACAAAATATTAATTACTTATTTCAATACAATATATATATATATGTATATAAGATAAAATAAGGTTTGAAGTTGTAGTACCGTTACTACCTGTTCCTTGAAGCATCTCTCGTTCTTTCCGTCTCCTTTTGCTTCGTCGTCACGCTCTCGACGACGACTCAAGAAAGAAGAACAAGTATGATCCAGCGCCTGTGGGCGATTCACCGTCTCACGCTTTTTCCCCTTCATCCACCCTCTTACTTTTATACCTCGCTTCGACGCCTCGTGAAGTCTTAGGGTTGTTAACCCTCGCAATGAGATTGTCGAAAATTTCGCGTTGGAATGGAGATTTCACTCCGGGCAACTTTCATGTCTCTCTCTCTCTCTCTCTCTCACACACACACACACACACACACACACACACATACACGAAAATTACAGGCTGCCTCTCTAATTACTCGATCTCGCTCAAATTCATTCAGCAAACTTTCGATGTGACCGATCAAAAGGAACGTTTTATATCGACAATCAAAACTTTCCTTCATTCGATGGACCAATGTGCACAAGTATCGTAATAATATTATTTATTTTTATAGACAAAAAATGAAAAATTTACACTGGTAAAATTATGAGCTATCAAATTGAGTACAATAATTTCAATCAAACGTTTAGTTAATATAATAAAAATAATTTTACTTCCCTATAAATATTTAGTAATTTTGTCCAAATAGTTGGTTACATTATTATGTTTAATAATACTAAATATTTAAAATCATTTTTTACTATATCAACCGGACATTTGATTAAAATAATTGTACTCAACATCTGATAACTATTACCAGAATTTTTTTCCGTGTACGTATACCTTTCATAGAATTTCGAGTTCATGCATCCTATACCTTTTTATATTATTACACAAGTTCTAGTTTCTCGTTGGAAAACAAATATATTTCTCTCGCAACTCTGTTGAATAATAATCTTTGCTTATCCGTCGCTGATTACATACCGTACATATAATTAATGTAGCATCAAACTGTTATCAGCATTTCTTTTACGTTTTATTGCTAGTGTTACATAAATAATTAAGACCGCGATCTAGTTACATGCGAGTCGAACGATTAAGATGCCGGCCTATTAACCGCTAATCGACGTCGATCGCAATTACATGGCGCGTCCGCAAAGTGGCACGATTCTAAGGAAGTGGTTTGAGATCGTTGCCCTCTTTTCCCGGCCTGTCGCAACCTCGCAGTCTATATCACGGGAAAAAAGACACCAAAGAAAATATAAAATCGAAAGGGTAATATTATCGCGATTGTAGTTAATTCAATGTGTAAATCCAATGTGCTTGCCGCGATGCGTTGACGCAGATCGAGGCGAGCGCACATTTTCGCGTAACGTGGTTACATACAGGTAGAAGTACGAAACGGTAGAAGAAGTATAATATAAAAGAAGTACAGCGATCCGGCATTAACCGGCACGCTATCGTCATCACTGTCGTCTAGGTCTTCCAAAGTGGTACGATTCGGAATGGCCAGACACACCGAGAGCGTTGTCCTCTTTCGCGCGGATCGTCGACTACCTGCAGGCGAACGTAAAGTCACCTGACGCATACCTCTCTATCTCCCAGCGACAGGCCGGAGGCAATCACTGGGCAATCCTTTTTATCTCTCTCTTTCTCTCTCTCTCTCTCTGTATCTTTCTTCCTTTCTTTCCATCGCGAAAAAAACATTCGCTTTCACGAAAGTCCAGGTCTTCGTAGGCCTCTCTTTCGTTTACCCGGTACACGAGGCGCGCGAGAAAAGATATGCCACACGCGAGGAACCTGCGGTGAAATCCGCGATTTCTGCCGGCGTTTCTTCCGCAAGGAACTTACACGCTGCAGAACGGGCACGGTAAGTCTGACATTCGTTTCGAGCCTGCAAAAAGTCCAAGGATCGCGAGATCGGCAATCTCTCCATTAAGATACGAATACTCTCGCGTCGTGAAATTTTTGACACATCTGTCCTTTTATAAACGAAAATGACGCGTACCACATGAAGAACGGATGGCATTGTTGCCGATTAGAATCACATGTACTTAGAATAAAAGGTAGACAAATCAGTCTTTCTTTAGATCTTTTCACGCTTGTTGTAATTCTTTCCATCGCCCGTTTTTACGGCGTGACAATAATGCGTCTTTTTAAGAAGTTTTCGTTCGGTAAAAAGTTACCGAACGAAATTCTTGGCACACGACCTCGTTGCACCGTTGCCGGCGCCGATTACCACCTGCGTGTACGTACATTTGGAGTTCCTCGTTACGAGAACGTCGCCGATCTGCAGCTCCGTCGAATGGGATTCCTGGTCAAATCGCGATCACCATGGTCGTTGCCGTTAAACGACCGAATTTGATACGCTCGCGAGCACCGCCCGATCGAACCGATTTTCTATTATGCCGATTTCACGCGCTCGTGCGTGAACGCACGTTGCCGTGCGTTGCAATTTTGCGGTCGCGACACTAAGTACTCATTAACGTGTCCCTTATTTGTAGAGGAAATTGTTTTTTTTTTTTTTTTC